AGACATTGGCATGAGTCAAATACAAATAATTTTGCATGAACAATTAGGTGTAAAAAAGTTGTTTTCCCGATGGATACTGCATTCGCTCTGTGAAGAGCAAAAAGCGGCTCGCGTTACTTGGTACGTCAGAACTCTCGAAAGATTCCACGCAGGATCCTCAAATGCTGTATACAACATCGTATCAGATGACAAATCCTGGATATATGCGTACGAACTCGAAACAAAAAATCAGTTACGAGTTTGGGTGTTCGAAAATGAGTTAAAGCCAACAAAAATTGTTCGTTCACGGAGTGTTGCAAAAAAAATGGTGGCCACGTTTGTCTCCAAAACCGGCCATGTTACGACTATTCCTCTTGAGGGACAAAGAACGGTTAATGCAGAATGGTATGCTAGCATTTGTGTGCCACAGGTCCTTTCTGAACTCCGTAAAGAGAATTGCAACCGCCGCATCATCCCCCATCACGACAATGCGAGTTCTCACACCGCACACAGAACAAAAGAGTTTTTAGAGCAAGAAAACATAGAACTATTAGACCATCCGCCGTACAGCCTCGACCTAAGCCCTAATGATTTCTATACTTTCTCTAAAATAAAGAATCAATTGCGTGGGAAGAGATTTTCATCACCTGAAGAAGCTGTGGATGCCTACAAAACGGCCATTTTGGAGACCCCAACTTCCGAATGGAATGGTTGCTTCAATGATCGGTTCCATCGTATGGAAAAATGTGTCAAATTTCGTGTAAAATATTTCGAAAAGCAATAAATACATTTTTAAATATTAATGTTGTGTCACTTCCTTGATTCCCGAAATTTTCAGTAAATGTGTTTGGATGTGTTTTCTTTAGAGCTAAATTCTGCCCCGCTCACAGACTCTGAAGTCGAGGCTCGGATACCGTGTGCCAAATTTGAGTTCAGCGTATTTTCGATGCATTTTTCGTCATCGGCCTATCACCAGGATTTCAACCGTCAATGAGTAGTGTGTACTGTGGCCAAGTGAGCTGGGAACTTGGAGAAAAACTTGATGTTTCTCCCAAACATCCTTTATATAAAACAAATTATATACGTATAAAAACCAATACTGCAACAGTGTCCAAGATTTACGTTACCGTTACTACCTCAAAAGTCCACCGTTGAACAAAGGTCTCCCTCATAGATTGCCTCAGAGGGGAAATATATGCCATAGTTGCCACGGTTGCCACAAGTGTGGTTCGCAACCCGTCTGCCAACTGGCAACACCTTTTTTATTAGTTGTTATTAGGAAGACGCTACTGCCTATCTCCTGATCTGTTTCCCACTGTCGCCTTTTATGAAACCCATGGGAAATACCGTATAGAAGTGGAGTAAGGATATCCACCAGTCCATATTGTCCAACATTAAAGAAGAATAAAAAATACGAATCAGCTTACCGTTTACTGCATTTCGTTTGTAATTAGAATTACTATTTGCATTTGTTAAAAATATCGATATAAGCATTAAATTAAAAATAACGTGTTTCATATTAATCATATTGTTTTCAAAGTCTTGGCAACAGTTACAATAAGAAAATTTTATATTTTAAATTTCTTATCAGCACAATAAATACAAGTAAGTGGAATAAAACCGAATTTCAATTAATTTTTATTGCAGTATAGTAGTATAGTAAGTATTGTAAGGATTTTTTAATTAAAAAAATACTCCATGCGCACTTTTTTATAACATAAGGGTGACAAACAAGCACACAGTCCACCTGATGGTAAGTGGTTGCTGTGGCCCATAGACATCTACATATATCGTCGATTACATGCATCAAAATGCAGATGTGTTGTCATCCGTGAGGGCTAAGATGGAATGCCTCTTTTCCAGTTGTAGCATATTATGTCGGTAGATAATAATAACGTTTTCTACAGCTACCCTGTATTGTGAGATTAAATGATCATTTACGGTTTCGGTGAAGTCACGCCTTAAAATGTCTATCTAAGGGAAAGTGCCAGTTTTCGATTGCAAAACAGATGAGTGGGTTGTACACGTAGCACAAATAAACAACTTCTTTATTGTAAATGGAATCGACGATATCACAGAGACTCAAAGAGTGAGAAGACGGGCAATTTTATTGAATGGCATGTCACAAGACTCATATCGTCTTACTCGTGATTTATTGTAACCAAATACGTCTGAATCAACCGATTACAAGGTGATTGTTGCTACGCTTGACGTTCATTTCGACCCAAAAAAGTGTATATACACTGAAAGAAAAAAGTTTTATTCGACTAAAAAGGACACTTACGAGTCGATGGTGGAGTATGTTGCTCGTCTTCGTGGACTAGCATCGGCATGTTGTTTTGGTACAGTTCTAGAGATGTATTTGACGGATCGGTTTGTACTTGGTCTTGACTCTGCGTCTGCCCGAGAGAAATTATTTAGAAAAGATCCCAATCAGCTAAAATTAAATAAGACTTTTGAAGTAGCTTGTGCAGTTGAAAGTGCGCAGCGTATTGTTTCCGCTGGCGATTCGGCAGAGTTAATTAAGTCTTAACCTGTGCTGTATACGGACTCGCGGCAAAAAGCTACTGCAAGCGACGGTACACAAGGCGGTCGCCGGTGTGGTGGCGGCGACTGCGGAGCCCCCAGGTGTAGTGTGTGTGGTGCGAGGTCACATGATACCTCCGTATGTGGCTATCGTCATCTGTCGTGCAATTTGTGTGGTGCAAAAGGACATTTAAAAAGAATGTGTTCTCAAAGATACTACGTACATAACGAGATTACAATCAAAAAGGACAAAATTGTAAAAAAGCAGCATAATGATATGCAGAATAATTACATTTTAGAATGTAGTGATAGTGACGAATGTAATGATTTTTCACCAATTAATAATGTTAGAGATATAAATAATGAATCACGTAGTAATACTATTTTATGTAAGGAAAAAACCGATATCTCTTGAAGTTATATTGCGAGGTGTTACTCTTAGTATGGAGGTCAATTCCGGTAGTGGGGTTTCAGGGCTGCCGGCGATGAGATGAGATGTCTAAAGTTTAACCTTATTTTCACCACAAAGATCTTGTACCCATTTTATTTTTTCACATACTTTAAAAAAAATTTATCTTTCAAATATGTCTCGATAATTCTGTGAAACTCTCTATGATCAATAAAGCACTTATTCCATCGTTATAATTTTTTCTTTTCAATTGTTCGTATAATAAGGAAAACTTATCTTCTGAAAAACTGCCATTCAGTCCCTCATAAGGATAATATAAAATGATGATTTTAAAAAGACTCTTACATCAGGTACGGCAATGGTCAAACTCTACTATTGATAATGCCGCTTTATGTTTGCGGTTGGTTTGTAAGGCGATGGCAAAAATTGTGGCTTCTCTATTTGCGATGAAGTTTTTATAGACCAAGTTTGTCAATGTTTACGTGTATTGGTTAGCAATGGATACTCATATAATTCCCGGGAGCGGAACGCTAATCTTTCTTTAAATGTTTTGATAGATCGATTTGTTCACGATCTGATACTTTGATGTGTGGGACTCGCCAAACAATTTTATTTATTATAATATCATCTACGATTTCACCTGTATTAAACTGGATCGCATTAAGATCCATATTGCTTCATAATAATACTAACTAGGGTTTACAATTAATTATATTTTTTTCATAATCTTCTGCAAGTCCTAATATCTTGTTCAGTGGTATAGATGCGGAATACACTTCACCACTAGTATTGCTTGTTCGTGCAGTTGACCAGCCCCAAACTTGTGCACATTTGGATTAATTTTTATTTAAGGATAGATAAGATTTGATTGTAGTGACTTAATTTTATCTATTTCTACTCCATTAAGTTTATATAAAGTCTATATTAAGTATGTCTTGAAATAGAAATAGTGCTGGATTATTAACAAAATGTACGTTTGATACCTTTTCTTTCATGGTGATGTTATTAACGTTCACTTTTCCATTGATAAATAAATTACTGAGTGAAGGTAGCATGTACAGGTCTTGCTGATTAATAGGAATACGTATTTCATCATTCTTGTAAAAACTAGTTACATATGGTTTGTATGAATTATACTCGAAACTTTCAATGCTATTATCGTATGATGTTTGTGGCGATATGTTTAAAATATTCATTTTATCAAGCCAACTAACTTAAGAAATGATTTGACAGTCTTGGTAAGCTTCTTTTTAGCTGAAGAGGTATGCCTTTAAGAGACGTTCTTTTAGAAGAGACTTGCATACACGACGTAGGTGGGCATTTATTGAAATTTATCTTTTGTTTTCGGAAATGTAAATACAGTTGTACTTCTTCACCTCGTAAAGGACATTGTAAAAACTCGCCTAATAACCAACATATATTTGACAATTACCAAAATTCTTATCCTTAATTATGCATTAGATAACATTCAATAGTATACAATACACTGCTTTATTCTGCACAAAATATACGGTATCACTCTTTACATAATGTCACTAACACTACACAATACTTGGTACACGTCTGTCGGTATACACGTATTAACAGAGATGTCGCCTTCTCACTGGTTACAATTCAACTGCCCGATGTTCACACGGCGGGCTGTATTTATACCCCAGTAGTGACGACTCACTACCGTTTGTCTATACACTACAAGACGTTTGTCTATACACTACATCTCTTCCTTTTTCTTAATATTTTTTATTTCTGGTTACATGCATGATCAGTAGTTGCTTTAACTTTTACAGAATCAGTTTACATTATTCTTCAATAATCATTCTTATTTCATGAGTGTTATTATCTGTTACTTCTTCATTCAAATTGGGTACATTTCCTTCTTGTGCATCGTTAACTACTCTCCACTGTCCTTCAATTTTTTTTAAGTGAACTACATTTCGTCGATATTGTGTATTCGTATCATTTTTGCGAATCACTACGTCTCCAGTGTTGTTAGTAGTTTTTACAACAGTATGTATGTCTGGAGAAAAGCTTGGTGTAAGCTTATTTTCTTTGGCAAAATTTTTTATAATTACCTTATCACCTTCATTTATGCTGTGATCTTTGGCCTTTCGCTTGCGGTCACTGTAATTTTTCCCTGCTTCTTTTGCAATGCGTCTTTGTCCCTAACTTCTGAATCTTCTTGTTTATTTTCAATATCTATGTATGATGGAATTTTATCCCGAAATTGTCGTTTGTAAAATAGTTCAGATGGAGTTTTACCAGTCACTGAGTGGGGTGTGCTATTGTACATCATCAGATAGTAAAATAAATCTTCTTTCCAATTCTTTCTTTCCACTTGACTGATTTTTAAGCGTTTTAGAATACTTCGGTTTTGCCTTTCCACTTCTCCATTCTGTTGGGGCCAATATGGTATTGTGTTGTGAAGAATTATACCACATTCTTGCAGGTAATTACGAAACTCTTGACTAATAAATTGCCTGCCGTTATCTGCAGTGATGGTAACTGGATAACCAAGCCGTGAAAATATCTCCTTTAATAACCTGATAATATCATTTGATGTTACACTTTTTGTTACTTTTACTTCCTTGTAACGACTGTAATAATCAATGATAACTAACAAAAAATCTCCAGAGGGTAGAGGTCCCATTAGATCAATAGCTACATCAATCCATGGTTCGACCGGTAGTTCACGGCGTTTCATTGGATTAGGTGGGTTTGGTGCAGATACTAATGTGCAACTTTTACAGTTTCTTACGAATATCTCTGCATCTTTGTCAATTTTAGGCCACCATACTTTCGTCCGTAATCTTTGTTTCATACAAACAATACCAGGATGATCCTCGTGAGCGGCTTGCAATACTTGCTGTCTTAATTTTTCAGGAATAACAATTTTGTTACCTCGAAATAAAATATTATTTTGGAAGAAAAGCTCTGATTGAAATACTTTATAATTTGATATGGTATGGTCCCAGGTACACGAGTATAAACCTTGTCTTACCTTAGCAATTTCGGAATCTTCCTTGGAAAATTGCTCAATATCGTCGAGTGATACGGCTACGTGTCTTGAGTATTCAATTATATGCCTGATATGTTCCTCATCAAAATTACGTACCATTGTATTCACAGAATTATGGTTTGATGTGCAAAGTCTTGAAAAGGAATCAGCTATATTCGATTTACCTGGTCGGTATACTATTTTGTAATTATAAGCTTGTAATCGAAGAACCCATCTTTCGATTCGGGCACAAGGCTTAGAGCATCTTCCAAAAATAATTTCTAATGGTTTGTGGTCACTTACCAGTTCAAACTCACTTTTTCCATAAAGATATATTCTAAAATGTTCTACAGATCATACTAAGGCCAGCGCTTCCTTTTCAGTTTGGCAGTATCGCTTTTCGCAGTCTGTTAAACTCTTATTTCCAAATGCTATTCTTCTAGGTCATTTTGAATTAATTTGGATAAGAACCGCCCCTGACCCAACAGGACTGGCATCAGCAATAACTTGGGTCTTGTCAGCCGGATCATAATATCCTAATGACTGCATATTGCATAGAGTTTTCTTCAATTCGTGAAATGCGTTTTCCTGGTCTTTGGTCCAGAATTTCCCAATGTCGGCATTTTTCCCCAGCTTTAGCCTTAATATTTTCCGAAAAGGCTCAGTGAGTGTCGCCAAATTTGGTATCCATTTCCCAACAAAATTTACTAACCCCAAGAAACTTTAAATTTTCTCGATAGTTGATGGTGCCCTAAACATTTGGATAATGTCAATGTACTTTTTTAAAGGCCTTACACCTTCACTAGATAACTCATGCCCCAAGAACACTATTTTATTTACTTTGTAAATACACTTATCATTATTTAACAGAACATTGTTCTCTTTCAAAATATTGAGTGTCTGTTGTAATCGTTGGTCATGCTCTGTCTCATTTGATCCAAAAATTACAATATCGTCAATAAAATTTACCGTACCTACACAACGTATAAGTGTGCATTCCATGATTTTCTGAAACATTTCTGGAGCACAGGAAATACCAAACATAAGTCTCTTGTATTTAAATAACCCTTTGCTCGTTATAAATGTAGTGATATATCGGGTATCAGGATGGATTTTGATTTGGTGGAAAGCGTTTTTAATATCGAGGCGAGAAAATAATTTCACATTTTTAAAATGTGGCAGCAGCTGGTCCATTGTTGGTAGTGGATGATTTTCACAAATTATTGCTACATTAGCTCTCCGCATATCGATACAGATCCTTATATCCCCATTTTCCTTTAAAACAGGCACCATGGGTGAAACCCATTTTGATGGCTGCAATAATTCTTGTATCTTTTTATTAACCTTTGTTTCTAGGGGTATATGTATTCTCCTGTAAGGCTGACTTACTGGCGTTATTTTCTCATCAATAGGTATCTCAAAAACAACGTCTTTAAATTTTGGAAATACTGTAATATTTTCATCTGATGTTGACTCAACGGTATTTACTTTAACACCTAATCGCAAAATGCCCAATGCTATGGAGGTTACTTTCCCCAAAATATCCTTAGTGCCGTTTTTTATCACATAGAAAACAGCAACTTCTTTTCTGCTATTGATTTGGACTTGAGTTTTAAATGATCCCAATATAGTTAATGGCTTAGTGCTACCATAGGCGTAAAATATTTTATCCGGTGATCTATCCATTTCAAAAACATTTATTTTATTTGTTTTTAGTTTTCTCCGTGTAACATCCGTTAATAAATTACATTTATATCCAGAATCGATCAATAATGACGTCTTGACACCACCAACCCAACAATTAATAGTAGTGTCGTCATCTACATGAAAAACAAAATCGATTTCTTCTTTTTCCTCCGTCCTTGATTTTTTGGTGGGGGTAGGGTCTTTTGAACTCAAAAATTGTTTTTTAAGTGGCCTTACTGTCAAACAGTACTTTCGTAAGTGCCCCGTTATACCGCATTTATGGCATTTAATTTTCGTTGCGGGACATTCCATTGATTGAGGCATATGCTTAAAGCTCCCACACCTAGTACACGATTTGTTAGAAATTTTCCTTCTGGTTTCAATTTTATTTACGGTGCTGCTATAACATGCCGGGTTGTGAGTAAATTCTTCCGTCTGTTCACACTTTCTAAGGTATTGGCTTCTATTATGATGTCTTCTAATGTCATTTTGTCACCTCCTTTTAAAATTTTTTTACGAAGCTCGCCAGAGTAACATTTTTCTGTAATTTGATCGATAATGCTTTCTTCTTTATTTGCAAAACAACATTTATCATCCTGTTTTCTTAATCGAATTAGAAATTTTTCAAATTTTTCTCCCGATTCTTGTTTCATTAGTCGAAATAAGTGTCTCTCATATACTTTGCTTTGTTTTGGAGCAAAGTACTCGTCTAACTTTTCAATGGCTATAACATAAATATCCTTCGTTGGATCATCTGTACTGCTAACATGGTCACCTGGTATATTATAGTATATTTCTTGGAGACTAAGGCCACCCATGTGTAATAATGTAGCCCTTTTTTTAGCAGATAGTTCAATATTTGCAGCTTCTATATAAATGTCTAAACCTCGCTTCCATTTTTCCCATTTTGCGCCAATGCCATGAGAATTCCCATCACAATCAAATGATTCTAAAGGGGGTAGTGATGACATTTTTTATTTTTATAGTTATAGTCTTATTCCTGTAAAAAAAAAGATATACAAGCCGATAATAACTAATTAATTTCTACCAGTACTTTTATTTATTAGCTTTTCGTACTAGAACGGGGAACATCTTGAATGCCCGCAGCATGATAACTCAAACAGTGACAAATATATCTTTTAAATACGTGTGTCTATTATTAGACCGTCACGCAATTCCATTCTGATTATATCTCAACCTTACCTATTTTAAACCCTGTTTTAGGACCTAAAGCATGTCCATGACTGGACCTTTGCTTTAGTTATACTTGGACCATCATCAATAAGTGTCCATGATCCTGGACCATCTCATTGAGGTGTCCATTTGATTTTAACAGAGATAAATCACGTCACTGCATAACTATCAAACTGCTATTATTATAAATGTCCCCAATTTTACGATCCGTATTTTAATCAATCTCTTAAAAGAGAATCCAGCAAATCCTAGTATAAAATTTTCCAGTTCATATAAAAACATTTTTAATTACTTACAGTATTTTTTTTCCTCGTCGCCAATATACAATACACTGCTTTATTCTGCACAATATATACGGTATCACTCATTACATAATGTCACTAACACTACACAATACTTGGTACACGTCTGTCGGTATACACGTATTAACAGAGATGCTGCCTTCTCGCTGGTTACAATTCAACTGCCCGATGTTCACACGGCGGGATGTATTTATACCCCAGTAGTGACGACTCACTACCGTTTGTCTATACACTACAAGACGTTTGTCTATACACTACAAGACGTTTGTCTATACACTACAAATAGATAGTAATGGACAATTCTGAATTGTGAAATTAAAATAAAAAGGACATTTTAGATTTTGAACTTTGTGTAGATTTTTTAATAATAATCTGCTGCGTTTGTGGGCTCCTATGATTTCACCAATCGCACAATACCTTCACTGACATATTTCAAAAGTTTCATAAACTCAAATATAGTATGTAAACGTTAAGACTTTAAAATATACCTCAGATAAATATATTCCAAAAGGAACTGGGATACAATAAAATCATCTGTTTTTATTTAAAATAACAATACTTTTGTGCCCTCATTGGCCAAATCAGCATTGTGCCACGCAAAAATAAACGTCCATAACGCTGACAGATGACAAGAAATATATAATAATATAATATAATAGATCACAGAACACAATTACTCTCTACCAAGAGAGATATACATAGACGTCAAACGTGCGATCGTTTTGGTTTCGTTTAAAGAAATACATTTCTGCAAATGTTTTCGGAATCTGTTGCACTATGTGCACTATGCAGTTCGTTTGTTATGCCATATGTTTACCTAATCAAAACCTGAGTTTTATTTACTGTATAAGTTCTGGGCTAAAACTGACCTGCTTACAGTAGCAATAACATAGTAATTCTCTCTCAAAATTTCTATGATATCTGCTAGTATCTATAAATTCAGAAGAGTCCGTCAGGAGTTATTGTTCTTACATACAGTTATGTGTAATTTCAGACTTAAAAAGGTATTTTTTTCACTGTTGGTTCTTAGGCGAACATTGTATGGACGCAGAACAATGTCATTTATCTCTTTATTCTCATCGTCGATAGCACTTATAGAACTTTGGGTAACAAGAAAATAAATTAACTTATTAGGTTTTTCAATTATTCGCTAACCAGGTGGTATATTAGGTATAAATTCATAAATTATATTTCTTGCTTTCCCGTTGGTAAATTAACCACTAACTACATCGCATTTAATCCGCACGACACAGAACACTAATACCCTTAGGCGGGAAGAATGTCAACTATGAACAAAGAAAATGACCATAATGCACGCCATTTCTGTCGTACCACCTAAAATTTTTTTTGCGCTGGAATTTTGAAACGTGATTTTTTAGTAGGCGCCTTGGTTGTTTCGTTTCAAAAATGGCTTAAGAATGTAAAATACCACACACACACACATATATATATATATATATATATATATATATATATATATATATATATATATATATATATATATATATATATTATGTCGAAGAAAATTCGCATTCATTGACGCCATTATTATCAACAGGTCTTGTGGGCAGCATTTTGGGTAAATACAAGCACAACACACAACACAAATAATAAACTTGTTTATACTTTTACTTATTTAAATTTAATTTAATCTTTACAGAAAATAACACTAACTAAATCTTATTAAAGAATATTAAAATTAAATAAAGATAGTCTGAGAGCTGGCGGCGAATTTTGGGAAGGTTGGTCCTTTGGGCAAGTTGAAATTGTGAAAAAATATAATTTCGTCAATTGGCGAATCCCCAGTCCCGCGAGTCTGGCTGAGCGTTTGCGGTTATTTTGTTACTGCGCAGTATATAATTTTTGCAAAAAAAATCCAAAAAAATGTTTTTTTGGGAACTTGATTTCTTTTTATCTTTTAATTTAGTTTTTATATAA